CCAACATGCGAAAAAGCCCAGGCCAAGTTTATGCGGTCAACAAACCAATTGTTGAAACCCTTCCGCATGAATGGGACAACAGAAAACAACAATTATGCCGAAATACCATTCGCCTGTCTTATAAGCGATATCCACCATAATGGCAGGCTATGCTTATTCTGCAGCTATGCGCAGCGATTTACCCTAAAAGGAAGCGGTACCTTGCTCACTTTTAAAATTAGAGTGACAAATCTGATGTGATCGACAGCTGACGGCATGATCGACTGACGTATGGGAGGCTACGGAAACAAGGTAAGCAATGCAGATCGCGGGCTGTGCCTAGATCCTCTCGGGTATAAAAGCACGGGTAGAAACTATGCAATTGCTTCTTGCAGAGTTAGCAATCACATAGAAGATTCATCATGATCACTCAAGGCCTCATCTGGCCTGTCCTCGGGCTTCTTCTCAACTCCGTTTCAGCGGGTACCATTCGTCAATCAGCACTAAAGTTAACCGTCAAGCACGAGGGTACCCTAGACCCAGTCATAAACGCCGACTTTCCAGATCCATCAATCATCCAACTCGAAGATGGATCATGGGTAGCTGTTGCAACAAATGGCGGTCCACCAGACAACTACCGAAAGCTTCAAGTCGCCACAGCTAAGGATCTTCTCGGCGAATGGACTTTGCAACAGGAAGATGCCCTTCCCGATAAAGGCTGGACAACAGGCGAGAACACATGGGCGCCTGATATTCGCCGGATCGACAGCGGAGAGTACATTGTTTACCTGAGTCCTGAGATTGAAACTGGCAGACACTGCATTGGTGTCGCGCGTTCAAAGAATGCAACTGGTCCCTACACGTATGATGAGAAGCCTCTTGTCTGCGGACCAGATGATCTCAAAGGCGCCATTGATGCGAGCGGCTTTAAGGATCCCGACAGTGGCAAGAACTATCTCATCTATAAAATTGAAGGCGATGCATCAGGTCCAACAGGCGGTACACCAATCATGCTCCAAGAAATCGAAGGCGACGGCATTACGTTCATTGGAGATGCAGTCAAAATCTTCGACCGCATCGGTAGTGAAGATGGCGTTCTCGTCGAAGCACCAAACATCGTCCGTCTTGGGAACGGGAAATATGTCTTGTTCTTCAGCAGTCACGATTTTCGCGATCCTTTATATAATGTCAAATATGCGTACGCGGATAAGTTATCGGGACCGTATACGCGTGCGGAAGAGCCGCTGATTGCGGCGCCGGATTTCGGACTTGACGCGCCTGGCGGTGCGACGAGCAATGAGGCAGGAGATACTTTGGTCTTTCATGGATGGTGTCCTGATAACAAGAACATTCGGTGTATGTATAGCGTTGAGTATGAGTACGAGTGAGGGACTGGGGCGGGTAGATAAGCGATAACTTATTTATTCACTTGCCCTTCAATACCGTTCGTCAACAGGACCCGTTATCCGCCAAATAAAGTTTGCCTCGAGCAGCCCGCCTCTGGTGCATATATCGACTGGCAAAAATAACAACGTACAAAAGGTATAATGCAGCGAATTATCGACCACGCCAGGAGTCGAACCTGGAATCTCTAGAGAATTCGGGAGCTGGAAACCGAAATCTAGCGCCTTAGCCATTAGGCCACGCGGCCGGAACTGTTGATGATTGGCTCGCTTCTAGGAGAGGTCAAGTTGTCGACGCGTCCAGGCGCGTGACAAATTGAGGAATAGGGTAGTTGAACGCAACGTTAGGAGTTCTGTTAATTCTAATTACTCTTATATGTTAATCACTGCCCTTCTTAGAAATGGGTTTACTTAAAGATAGCTGAATTATCTTTATATCTAGAATAATATCTCTTTCTCTTTAGCATAACAATTAGGATTAATATCTCGATTTAATGTGACTAGATATAGAACAATTAACACAAGCAACTTTGCTAAACCAAAAGTAAATGCAGTCTGTTAAATGATAATACTGGACACCATAGCAATATTTATCCATCGTTATATAAAGATTATAACAGTGGCTTGCCTGTTGAAGGCAGAACTTCCCTTCCAACACGGTTTTGGTAACCCTACTTAGTCTCCTGGAGCTTCAGCAACTTCTGAACAGTCGGGCGCTTAAGCATATTTTCAGCCCATTTCTTAACGTACGGATAATCATCCTGGTTAAAGTCCTCATTGGGGATTCGCGGTTCAGCGGTATGCTGCCAGGTGAAGAACGCGATATCCACGTATGAGAGTCGACCACCCAAGAACCAAACGTTTCCATCCGCATCAGGCTCCTGCTTAGCCAAATGCCCATCCAGCACCCCGGTCACGCGGTTGACCTCTTTGACATAGCGCTCACGAGCTTCAGGAAGTGGCTGGTAGATGATGAACCACATTGCCTGGCCGTAATACGGTCCCTGGCCGGTGGTCTGGAAGAAGAGCCACTGGCGAGCGTGGTATACTTCCGCTGTGCCCGGTTTAAAGCTAAGTTTGTTGTCCTTGTCATAGGTCTCGGTCAGGTACTCGATGATAGCACCTGATTCCCAGAGAGTGAGGTTGGTATTCGGGTCCTGGATAGAAGGCAGTCTGCCATTGGGGTTGATGGCGACATACTTAGGGTTCTTGACGTCGGTGAGAGGGATGACTTCTGTCTCATAAGGGAGTCCCAGTTCCTCGCACAGGAGGATGATCTTGCCAGCATTGGGCCCGTGGACTCCCAACAGTTTGATAGGCTTAATTTCTGCCATAGCGATGAACGATGATTCGTATGATGATAGATGGAAGGGGAACGGATTTGAAATGTATATGACGATGTAAGTCCCAGTAGCGATGACAGAGTGTCGAGTGACCTTCTTCCTAAGGGAATTGTATCTCTTTAAATACATGACTTTGCCTTCCTACACCCAACTTAACTACGTTCTTTGGAGTTGAACAGACTTAATACTAAGCATGACCGCGGAGGGAACTGACAAATGCAAATAGGCAGTGGTACAACAAGTGATTAGTCAAGTTGTGATGAGGTTCGAGGGTTCATCATGATTGTCCTCATGTAAGCCGAGTAAAGTGCCTGGTTCCGCGGAACTGGTTGTTCCAATTTAATTGGCTGGCTTATGGACAGCGAGCAACAAAAGTCCCGACCCCGAATTGCTTTACAAATTGACAGATTGACAAATTGTTTCATTAAACTATTTTATGTAAAGATAACTTAAGCGTTAGGATAGACCAATGTTTCTTGCTTCGAACCTAGATATCAGAGCGATGAATTCAATACGTATGATGGACCCGATGTAACACGACAGGTCATGCGAATCCTCCGCAACCGCCACAACCATGCATATCCAGTCTAATACATATAAGTACACTTGGCAAAAGTTCTAAAAGTATTATATGAAGATCATCGTGAAAATTTCATTCTTTTACGAGGTCCTGCTCGTCTCCGAAGACTACATCCGATAGTCCGACTTTGAACCGAGACGGTCCCACTCTCTCGGTTTTGGTGATCGGAGTCCGATTCGGCTGAAGTCATCATCCTCGCAGGAAACTCAATCCCAGTTCGGCAAACGGCACGCGACCGAATAATAATATCAGTCACGACACTGGCTAATACGAATATAAATACGGTCACCGCTATCTAATTCATGCCAAGAACTGAACAACACTCTCCAGACTGACACTCCCATCAAAGAGTCTTCAATTGACAATGTCACGCGTCGCTTCACTATCACGACGTCATCTTCTCACCAGCCTCACTCAGCAACCCAAACGCTACTTCTCAGCTACCATGGCTTCATCTAAAGACAAGTGGTCCGCAGACCAATACGTCAAGTTCCTCAAAGACCGCACCCGACCTTCCACAGACCTTCTAGCCCACGTTCCCAACACGTCTCCCAGGCGTGTCGTGGATGTTGGCTGCGGCCCCGGCAACTCAACCGCCGTGTTAGCCGAACGCTATCCCAACGCTCACGTCTCAGGCTTCGATTCCTCAGCTGACATGATCAAGAAGGCGAAACAGACTCTTCCGAATGTATCATTTGAGGTCGCTGATCTTTTGACATACAAGCCTGAGGAACCTGTCGACGTTCTCTTCTCCAATGCTGTTTTTCAGTGGTTGCCTAATGGACAACGCCTTGAGATTGTGAGAAAACTTCTTGAGCATGTAGCGCCTGGTGGAAGTCTCGCTTTTCAGGTCCCATACAATCTTGAAGAGCCAAGTCACAACCTGATGCGAGAGACAGCTGATACACCCAACATGCCATGGACGGAGAAACTCAAAGCTGCCAACTACTCCCGAGACCAGTTTCCTTCGCCAACTGAGATATGGGATGGCTTGAAGTATTTGTGCTCTGATCTCGATATTTGGCAGACGACTTACATGCATGTTATGGAGAATCATGAGGGCATTGTTGAGTGGGTCAAGGGGACTGGCCTTCGACCGTATCTCGACCCATTGTCGGAGTCTGAGCAGGAAGCTTTTGTTGAGGCTTATTTGAGTAAGTTGAAGAAGGGTTATGCTGCACAGAAAGATGGGAAGGTTCTTCTGCCGTTTCCTCGGTTGTTTGTTGTTGCGACTAAGGCATAAATATGCAGCCGAAGGCCCGAAACATTATACATATTACTGTGGGTAGAATAACACAAAAATTTAACTTGAAAATCTACTGCTTGATAAGGGACAGACTTTGACCGGGTGATTGGACCAAGGTATGTGCGTGATAGCCGCTGTGGCGTAGGACATATCATAATCGATAATCCGTGGCCAATAAGCAATGTTTGTTTCACACATTGCATGCTGATTTATTATGCGACGCAGGCGCTAGAAGAAAACAGAACGCAGCTTTGGAACGGCGGTGTCTGCAGGCTGAATTGCATCTGGTCGCCTTAATCTGCCTTGGGCACGTATGCGCCGCAAGGCAACTGATATGAGGCTCAAGAGCATGAAAATGAAGTCTGTGCCAAGAAAAAACTTTCCCGATCGTACTTTCGCTTCTCTAGATTGTAAATGTTGCAGACAAAATTAAAGCAGATCTCGGCAGTATGTCTAGTTTTATCGAAATCGAAACCAGTCCTCTCCTGGCAGAATCCAACACTGATGAAGCCAAGAGAGTCCGAGACGAGGCTAAGGCTACACTGCAGCAGAAACACCCGACTCTTGTTGACATGGCTGCCATCGACATACTGAAGGTCTTTGGAGCTATGAGAGAGGCACGACTTGAGATTGCGGAATTATGCATTTCAATATCTTTTCCTCTCGTTATTCTACAGTGCCGTTCTTTAAGCAACCTTCTGGCATCTCTGTCTGCATTCGATGACCAAGGGAAAGTACCCGAAATGACGTGGCATGCACGGAATCTCTCCATATTGGGCAAACTGGAAAATGGATTTGGCTACTCGTGGAGATACCAGTGGTGTATTGTGTTCGAACGCTGGAGTAATCAAGTCAAGGATCATCACTGGCTCGGTGACAAGACCGGCGACTTGCAGAGCAACGTTGCCCACGTTCGGCCTATTTTCCTTTCTGTGAAAGAGGCGTTTATGCAGATTGACAAGATGGCTGGGACATCTCTAGTGGACTTATTGTCGGATGTACAGCACGCTTTTGACATGTTTGAGCATAGGTTGGCGGAATGTTCGGCGAAGGCCGAGGAATTGCGTGTCGAACAAGGTAAGATTGGGTTGACAACTCTGCTCGTCGTTTGTTAATTTGGTACTAATCTCACTAGAACGCCCCAAGCACCTCTCACCATTCGTCAATTCTTCTAGTGGTCAATCATGGTCGAGCGGCTCCAATATTCCATCTGGTGGCATTACCCAAAGAACCTCATTCGGGAGAGATGGTAACGCCACTGCAGTCCAGGTGGACAACAGTTCTACCAAGCCCAAGGAGAGGCGATTGACGAAGCTACGACAGCGCTTTAGCATCAACCCTGACGCACGTGAAAACCATTGGACAACTCTCTTTGGACTTAGCAAATCACCCGTTGTCCTGATCCTTACCGCCGCAATGCCACCAACCATCTACTCTACCATCCTATGTGGACCTCCGGATGCAGTACCTGCGTTAGACAGCAACTTCTACTCAACGCTCAGTCAGTTCATCTCATCACTCGCAGGACTGTACGTCATCGTGAAACCAATATTCAGCGGTAATAAGAAGGACAAGATCAAGACAAGCTTTCCTAAAACATTCTACACGATGCTCACACTGTCGTTGCTGACGAGCCTGACGAGCGCGGTCGCATACGCTTGGAGCCCAGCGGCTAGTATCCCGCTGGCATACGTGTCTGGACTGACGCTTAATATTGCGACTCTCCTGATTATTCAGGACTCGGGGAATCAGATCAAAGAGACTAACAGGTACAACGAGGACTTGGTATTTGCTGTCAATGAGTTGGAAATGGAACTGGCAGAGAATCGGGCGGAGAGATCGTAAAGAGTTTAGTTGGAGGATGAATTGATGACAGCCGGAGAAAAGCGTATGCGAAAACAAATCAATTAGTGTACACCACCAGGCTCTGAATTAATGCTTTTTTTATCACTGGAGGGAAGAATATCATGGTGAGTGCGACGTGTATGTAGCAACCGAGATATGCATCTATCGAAGCATCACTGAAATTTCTGCACGTGCCACAGCCGGAGTTTGCCATTCCTCCCCGGACAACAGTGCAATCGCTCTATAACACCGATAATCCAACATGGCAGAACGAGAAGAAGGCAGTCCTGCTATAGAAGCACACGGCTCAGATGAAGGCCCTCCTTCAAAGAGACAAAGAGGCTTCATTGCCAGACAGGTAAGCATCATAGCGTCTCACCGCGGATGAGATGACTCAAACATGATAGGCGTGTGAGTACTGTCGCCAGAAAAAGACAAGATGTGATGAAGATTTCCCATGTGGACTTTGCAAGTCCCTTGGTCTTCAGTGTAAATTCACCCAAAGAAAAGCAACCCGGTAAGTCTCATGCTCCCCCAATGAAACGCCAACACTAACAGCATCAGGAATGAAGCTTCTCTCGGCATGATCGTTAACATCCTCCGTCGCATCGAAGGTAAAATCGACGACTCGAAACCCCATGACTCACATCCCACGGATCATCGCTCCATCGCCGCCGCCTTACGACCATTCAATCCTAGGTCTCCCGCAAACTCAAGCGAAGTCCTCGGTGTCCCATCGTTTCTGCGCCACGAAGCCATCGACTCACCAGCTGCACCGACCGATCCTAATCCCGCTATTTCGTTCAGTGCGCACCAAGTACTCTTCTGGCCAGCTATTCAATCATCATTGCCTGAATCTGTAAAGTTGATGTGTCAGATGCAAGGCGGTACATATTCTACCCGCCTTGAAGCTTCACGGCCTAAGCTCCCGCACGCTGCGTCTGTAGACATATCATCAGATTGGTTGTCGAAGCTTAGTATTGCGACGTTGAAGCAGTTATCTGATGTTTATTTCACAACGTTTAACCTTGCAAACCCTATTCTGGACCAAAAGACGTATTTTCAGCGCACGCTTGGCGTTGCGATTGATGGGAACTTTGGAATTTGCATTGAGAGCTGTATAGTCCTGGCTGTGATGGCTCTAGGTTCGATGGGACAAAAAGCGCTGCAGGAAGCTGGGTTTGCTGGGACGCCGGCGTCGAGTCCGTATGTTGGACAAGACGCCGAGATGCCGGGGCTGGACTTTTTCAATGAGGCGAGGAAACGGTTTGGGTTCTTGATGTGTGAGCAGGACTTACAGGCTTGCCAGTTTTATCTACTATCAGGGTAAGATTTTATGTCGTGTCTCGGGATGCTAGCTGACGTTAACAGGTTGTTCTACGCTGAGGCTCTCAGACCCATCGATTGGTGGGCAATGCTCAGCAAAGCAAGCGCATGCAGCGCCTACTTCTGGAACAAGTAAGCCGCCCTTCATCATAAATCAAACCCATCTAACTATTCAAGTTTATCGCGGGATCGCGATGAGTGGATGCTAGACATGCAGTCCCGCCTGTTCTGGATAACAAGCATGTTCGAAGCCGTCCTCTCCCAAGAACTCAACCTCCCTCCCAGTAATTCCCTACATCTCGAAGAACACATCGCTCTACCAAAGTTCATCTCCGCTCAGGATATTGCATCATTCGGATCGTTTCGATATCCAGGTGATGACCCGTTTTTTCACTATCACTTCTTATCACAGCTTGCGCACCGACTTATCTTGACAAGGGCGAGGAATAGTTTGTTTCACTTCAGTAAGTTTAATAGAGGTTATTATTCGGTGGAAATACTGATCGTGGTAGATCCTACTGCAGACTATCCACCTGAGCCTGTTGAGGATGAGCTCATCAGACAGTTGGAGCAATGGCGGGAACGGCTTCCGCCTATGCTTCAGTTTGACCCGAAGTCGCCCTTGACACAGGCCGAGTCTCCTTCCGATGCGCTTGTCACGGCTTGGTTGCATGCTCGATACTTTGTCGCGAGATATCACATCGGTCGACCTCTACTGTAAGTACACCCATCCAGTAATCCTCAAGATACTGACCTTGAAAGCCACCGAGCCCTGGAGAGACCAGCATCTCTGACCGAAGGGCATCTCCGAAAATGCCGCGACGCTATAAGCGCTGTTCTTGCATGGGCTTCCGTAATTCAAGTCACAGACACAATGAGGAGCTGCAATCCTCTCAAGTTCTTCGTCTGCAGCCAGTAATGCTACCTAGCCCCTCCCATTTCATACCAATTCTAACCCGATCTCAGAATATTCGGCCAAATATGCGTCATATACGCCCTCAGCGTATCGCCATACCCCTACATCCGCGACACCGTATCAGACGTCAACAAAAAATGGACAAACTTTGCTCTAAACTATCTCGAAGCCGGTGCATTCTACAGCCCCGCAATAGAGCAGGACTTTAAAATAGCAAAGATTCTTTGTGAGGATATAGGAAAGATATGAGTATTATCGAATCGGTAGATCAAACTGCTTGCAGGGTTCGGGCTCGGCATAAAAAATAGACGTAAATCCGCAATCTTGTCGGTTTTACGTCACTATCATCTCGTTGATCGCTATTGGACTTCTTCGTGTTTATCGGACTTTAGACTATTGTGGAGAGTTGCCGTCCGGATCGCTAGCCTCTTTTGCATTTTGGAGTTAGTGCCTATGACGCGAACATCTGTCCGTTTCCACCGCCGGTACAACTACAGTGCCGAAGTTCCGTGGTCGTTTTCATATATCTACGCGTAACGATTGCGATATCCATTTCAGAAACCAAACTATACAATTATCCCGTCTTTAATCAAACTGAGAAATCATCAAAATGTCACAAGATGGTCTCGCCTTCAACTGCGCCGTCATCACTGGTGGAGGCGGCGGTATCGGCCGTGCACTAGCCGAGTACTTGATCTCCAAGGGCAAAAAAGTTCTTCTCGCTGGACGAACTGAGTCGAATCTCAAGTCTACTACTCAAGAAATCGGTGCTGCGGGTTACTATGTTCTTGACACGGGCAAGACAGCCGATATTCCTGCTTTCGTCAAGAAAATCACCAGCGAACATCCTGAGCTCGACTGTCTCATCAACAACGCTGGTGTCCAGCGCCCCATTGACGTCTTGAAGAACGACGATTTCCTCGAAAAGGCAGACCAGGAAATTGACATCAACATTCGCGGACCGATGCATCTCTCCTTCGCCTTAATCCCTCACTTCAAAACCAAGCCCAACGCTCTGATCGTCAACATAACCAGCGGTCTAGCCTACATCCCTTTCTCGGTCATCAACCCCGTATACAACGGCACCAAGGCTTGGCTACACTTCTTCTCCATGAACCTGCGCACTCAACTCAAGAACACCAAAATTCGCGTTGTTGAGATTGCCCCACCGATGGTGGAATCGAACCTTCATCGAGAGAGGGAGAACCCTGATGACAACAAGAAGGAACATGCGCCGCATACATTGACCATGGAGGAGTTTATGAGAGAGATTGTGCCTAAATTTGAGAAGGGTGATGATACGATTGGGGCGGGTATGGCGGCTAAGGCTATTGATACGTGGTATGGGGCTTTTGGGGGGCTGTATGAGGGCGCTGCTAAAGACTATAAGAGTGCCCTATGAGTGGCCTGAAAGATGGGACAGAAGTTGTATGCCAGACGTTAGACACGGTCTTTATCACTTGTTACAACTGATAAGTGGTCTCAAAAAGGCATCTAGATTCATATAAATGGAGGCCGAAATACATCGATGCCTTATATATAGTTTCGAGTTCATTACCTCGTAGGGCTGAGACTTTTCGACTTCAACCTTATCACAGTTCCTACAACTATCTAAAGAATCCCCACTACATAAGTGAGCGAAGTGAGAAAGAACCCATGTTCATCCATTCCGGACGGCAGGCGCAGTGACTTGAAATGGTGATTCTGCAATCCTAGGGATTAAGAAAAGAATGATTCAGAAATGATAAGCATTCTGTCTAGGAGGCATAAAGTTAAAAAAGTCTTTTAATGCGAGAATTATTCGTATCGTAAGATGATGTAAGCTAACATATAAACGCAACTGTGATAAGACTGAGAGTTCAAAGAGGCTTCAGCCCCAGTGCACACAGGCAAAAGATGGATCAAAACCAATAGGCAGTATACTTTTTGCCCCTCATGTAAACTCAATCATTCTGTTATCCTTGTATAATGAGCGTTGGGACAAAGGCTAGGAGGCTTAGTCGATTGAACAAAACTCGAGAACAATAAAGATATCTTACCTTGGTCCAACATCAGCACTAAGCATACCGAGGCGGCTTCTCATCGGGATATCCACCCAAACCCTCGTTAGGCCTATCCGCCGCCAACGGCTTCTCATCCTCTCTCTGCACATGCGCAGGTGGCTCAACGCCCTTCTTTTTCCATTCCCGACGAGCAATCATATCGTCAGCACCCCGCATATCTTGCTTTCCCTTTTCAGCGATAGCTCTATTGTCGGCGCTATCTTTGAGAGTCTCTGGGTGTTTCGGGTCGGTGTCGAAGGCTTGATCTGTTGCGTCGAGGACTTCGCCTCGTAGAGCGTCGCCGGCTCCACGGATACCCTTTAGGCCTGTCTTGACGTCGTCAATGATTTTTGACATTTTGATGGGTTTGATGTTTTTGATGGTTGTTGTCAAGGCTTGGCTTGATAGTCGGGTTATATCCTATGCTGAGGTATGACGTAACATGGGACATGACGTATCTCATCTCGGATCTTCGGAACAAACCTGATGCCACAGTGATGCGGCATGGCAACACCTGGGCTTAGTCACTTGAGATGATCCGGTTTCAAAGTGATTGGAAAATATCTAAACTATCAATGAGAATTGCCTCCCACGGACTGGAGTGGCTTGTTGAGGAGTCAAACCAAATTGCCAAATGCCCCTCAAGTACTGATTGATCGATAATTCAAGCTTGTGACATCTCAACGAGACATATCAAGCCAACGCACTGAATATTC